CTTGACTATTCAGCTTGTATTTTATTTTCTGATTTTTTTTGCCAATATGTAAGACAGAGCATTTATTTGTTGAGATTTGAAGTTGCCATTTGTTTGACCATTCTGATACATAGTCAAGATCTTTTTGTAGGGTAGCAGTATTGTCTGTGGTATTGAACAGCTTTACATCATCAGCGAAGAGAACGCAATTGCTCTTAATATGATCACAGAGGTCATTTATGTAGAGTATGAAGAGAGTTGGTCCTAGAACACTGCCTTGGGGGACACCACTATTGACAGGTACTGGATTTGATAGGACGCTCCCAATTTTGACCATTTGTTGTCTGTTTGACAGGAATGCTTCTATCCAGTTATTCAGTTGTCCAGAGATACCATAGGATTTTATTTTTAGGAGTAGTTTGTCGTGTACCACTGAATCAAAGGCTTTACAGAAGTCTATGTAGATTGCGTCTATTGCTTTGCCCTGGTCGAGTTGTGTCGTCCATATGTTTTTGCAGTGTAAGAGTTGCAGATTACAGGATAGTTTTTTTCTGAAACCAAATTGTTTATTGGAGAGTAGGTTATTTGTCTCTAAGTGGAGGATGATGGATTGGTTAATAATTGATTCCATGACTTTACAGGTGACGCAGCATAAGGAGATTGGCCTGTAATTTTCAACTAGGCTTGGGTCTCCCTTTTTGAAGATGGGGATGACTGTGGCTTGTGACCATAGGTTAGGCAAGGAGCTGGTCCTGAAAGATTTTTCAAAGATTATGCTTAGAGGTTTGGCTATGGCAGTGGATAGCTTTTTTAAGAAGTAGGCACATATTCCATCCGGTCCAATAGATAGGGATGGTTTTAGATTGCGTAGTGCTTTTTCAACATTGTCTTCTGTGAAATCGATATGTATTAGATCATTGTTGTTATCTGTGGTACGGCTAGGAAATACTGGGCATGATCCATTGCTGTTTACAAATACTGAGCCGAAGAATGTGTTAAAGATGTTGGCTTTAATGGTGTCTTCGTTGCAGTCTTTACCATCAGGTCCTATCATGGGAGGGATGGACCTTGAGTCTTTTAGTTTGTTGTTTACAAAATTGTAAAAAGCACGGGTGGAATTGGTGCTTAGAAGGTTTTCCTCTTGTTTAATGTGATAATTGGTGCATTCGGTCTTTATCTGGTGGCATAAATTTTTGTATCGGTTTTTGAAATTGGTAACGTGACCAGATTTGTTTTTCCGCCAGAGTGATCTCTTTTTGGATTGAAGTTTCCTTATTGTTGTGGGTAATCTGCTTTTTTGTTTTGTTTTGGGAGTTGTTGTTGGTACATATAGTTTGATGACTCTTTTGACTTCAAGTAAAAATATGTTGTAATGGTCTTCAACAGTATTGCATCCAGTGAATAGAGATTGCCAATCAAGGGATGAGAGATCGTTGTCTATAAGATCATAGTTGCCTTTTTTGAAGTTACAATTGGGGATTACATCATTGTGGTGATTTTTGTGTGGACGTATGTTGAGACAAAAGTCAATCATATTGTGGTCACTACTGGAAAAGGGTTCTTTAGTTTGTATTCCGTAAATTAAATTCAAACTATTGCAGAAGATGAGATCGAGGCAGTTGTTTAGTCTAGTGTTGTTGGTTACTAGTTGTTCCAGTCCCAGATTTGTAGTAGCATTGTAGAAGGTTGAGTGTATGATTTCAGTTGTACAATCATTTAGGGTCCAGTCAGTATGAGGTAGATTGAAATCACCAAGAAGGATAAAAGGGTATGGGCAGGATGCAGCCCATGTTAGTAATGTATTTAGCTTGTTTACATGTTCGATGTCATAATCAGGTGCTCTGTAACATAGTAAGAATCGAATTGTGATATTTAAGGATAGTTCACAGATGATGGTCTCAGGAAGAGCAAGCTCCTGGGTAACTTGGATATTTTTTAGATGTAAGGATTTTTTATAGAAGATAGCAACACCACCTCCTCGACGATTTTCACGATCTGATTGGTAAACATGAGTCTCTTACTGTGGTAATGGAGTCGGGGAGAGATGCATTGAGCCATGTTTCACAGACAAATATAATGTCGAAGTTAGCCATATTTAGTAGGATGAGAAATTCAGGTATTTTATTCACGAGGCTTCTTGCATTGAGTAGTTTGCATTTAAGGCCGGCAGTAGTTGGAATTGAGGTAGTTGGGGGCGTGCGTGCCTAGTCTTGGGTGATGGTGGATCGGTTGAGGTAGGGTTGTGGTTGAGGGTAAAAGCTGAGTATTGGGTTGCGTGGCTTACTTTTGATACAGTCAGCATGGTAGTCAATGTACAGGTCCTTCTCTCCATTGTCTAGACGGTTTTTGAGTTCAATGCGGAGTACACGGGAGTGGGCACGTTGCTGTATGGTTAGGTCAGGGCGACAACGGAGGTTCTTATGGTTGGTGTTGGTTTTGGCGAGTGAGTTTATAGTATAAATGAATTTACGTTTGCTTGATTCATTTTTGCAAATGACTCTGCACAGGCGTGGGGCCACAGAGCCGTCACTGTTATTGAGCTCTCGGCCAATACGTGAAATGTCAAGTATTTCATCAGCGGAGATGGTTGATGCTTGATAATCCCTGATGATGTTTCGGACAGTTGTGATGTCATCATTGTTATTGGTGACCTCTAGACCAAATAAGATGGCGTTAGGACGTTTCCGTTCACGCTCAACAGCTTCTCTGATGAGGATTGGGATATCAATATTTGTCTGGGTTGTGTTTATTTGTGGATTGGGTTTTGGATTGGGTTGTGGTTGTTGGGTAGAGATGTGGTTTGTAGCTATTGGAAGTTCAGGTTTTTGCGTTGTTTCTTTTTTTTCAAGGTTGGATATTCTTTCTTTTACGGCGTCCAGGGATGCTACTATGGTTTCAATGGTATCAATTCTTTCCAACAGATCCAGTTTGGGTTTGCATGATTTGCAGTAATATGGAAACTCATTGGATGATTCCAGGTATTGAATAAATTACTTGGTTAATCCCAAGCAGTCATGATGAGTGTATTTCTTACACAGAGAACATTTGATGGAGTTTTCATTATCCTTTAGATTTTTGTAGCATTTAAGGCATGTGCAGGAGTCTATGACTACATTGTGTAATAATGACAAACCTGAGAGTTTGGTGTTTGCTGTCGGTAAGCAAGAAGTGACAGAATACCAACTAAGAAGTGTAGGGGGAGGGTGTGGCACAATGAGGTGGAAGAATGCTATGAGGGGAGCCAGGGGAGGGATTGAGAGATCTGGCACAGGCTGTGTATGAATGCAGAAGGCCAGAGAATGTATAGTACAGAATGACTTGTGACTTTTCCCTGCCAGTTTCCCCCATTGATTTTACTTGTGGGAAGTTGGTAGGGAAAACTGCAAATGGTGATCCCATACTATGGGACAGATACTGCAACTATTGTAAGCACAAGCCATTTGTCAAGTGCCTGAATTGAAATTAAATGACTGGAGGCACAGTGACAGGTGAAACTTCAAAGACTGATCATAAATACTACTTGTTCAACACAACTGCAACTTTGAATGGTCATTGAATGAGTGGTTGGTTATCAAGGACCATCTATATACATGTTGCTTTTAACAATTAAAGCTTGAAAAGGAAATACAGGAGACACAATCAAAATCATTATTAGATAGTCCTCGCTTTAAGAACCACAACTGGGAGAAACAACTTTGTCACTAAACTATGTGGTTAAGTGCAGCATCACATGACTGCACTGAACATGAATTCTGTTGGAGTCACTAAGGAAGAAATCACATGACCACAATTGGTGATTTTACTGTTGGCTTCTCCATTCATTTTTCTTGAGGAAAGCTCTAGAAATGGCAATCAAGTGACCAAGGAGACACTGCAACTATTGTAAATGCATTCCAATTACGAAGCACCTGAATGGAGACCACGTGGCCATTGGGAAGTTGTGACATTTGGAAGTTAAAGGAAAAGTTAAAGGAAGTTAAAAGTGATAATGTTACTTTTTGCACTATTGTAATTTTGAACAGTCACTAAATACTAATTTTGTGGTCAGAATTGCACATATACATCAATAGATTATCATGAAGGCCACTTCAGATAAAGGAGATAAGAGAAGTTACCAGGCATTTTATAGTATTAAATATTTATTAGCTAATGTTTGCAGTAGATGCATTCAATTAGTTATTATCAAAAAGCATCCAATTAAAACTTGCAACAGACTGAAGAATTACAATATGTATTAGTTTTTCTTTGAAACAAGATGAAATACAATTTCTTAAGCACTCCATGTTGCAAATTCAGATCAGAAAATATCCAGATAAGCATTTGCCTCAATATCTGAGGACTAAATATGTGGATATTGAGGCTTAAGGTAGAAACTGAAAGTTTTAAAAGACTTTCCTAAATAATATAAGTTTTCAAGGAGCCTGGAAGGTTGGGAATGCTGGTTTTTTGCATCCCCCCCCCCCCCCAATAATTGTAGCAGAAAAGAACCTCAAGTTCAAAACATTTAACTCTGGTATTCTGAGATTCTGATCTGTTCTCTACTCTTAAATCTGGGAATTAGAAAATACTTTTGTCATAAACTTAAATTATTTACCTCGGTCAAGCTTGATCAATTTTCACGCTACCTAAATGAGCTTCACTTATGATGAATTACAAACTCTTGTGTCTGGATGTTACATTATGTAAAAGGAAGTCTGCTATACAGTACTTCTATCCCATTAATTTTAAAGATGGATGATATGCATCTATCATAGAGTTTGGCTGATCAGCAAATAACCAATGAAATATTTGAACTACTAAAATAAGATGTTATGGCTGCTTAATTCCAGGTAACAGAGGCAGAATAAGTACTTGAATCAAACTTGAAATTCATCATAATAAGGAACTGTTTTATTAACATACTGACTATATCATAGATCATTTTCTTTGAAAATATTTCTTTCAAAGAAAAGAACAGAGACAACATGAAGAGGGATGGATTCTAGGAAGATCCTGGCAAGACTTGCAAAATCATTACTTACCCGAAATGAAAATTCAAGGTTTTCCCCTCCCCAGACTTCCATTCCCGTGTCGTATGAGCCAAGATAGTTAAAATAATTCTTGTTCACAGCAAAGAGTCCACCAGCCATAGTTGGAGACCTAACAGAGGAAAACACCTCAGAATTAATTGACAAACCAAATCTCCTTACCAAGTTAGTATCACATGTGAATCCATATGTAAATATCACCCTTAGCAGTATAATATGAAGAATACATCTATTTAACAAAATGTAATTGCTCTGTAGCTCAGAATGAAATAACAAATACTGTAATCAAGTTTTACTCAGAAAACAGGAAGGAAGCCAGACAAGAAAACTTTGATCAAAAATCATTGTGAAATCCCCTTGCAGCAAGATGGTCAGCAAATTAATTAATTAATTAAAATAAATAGGAAACACGACGATAGAATTCTTTAGCAAGCTTTGGTTTGTTTTTCAATTAGTAAATTTAAATTGTTTAATATCTGAAATCAATAAAGCAAAAGTGAAGAAACTGTGGCCCTCAAAATACATCACTCATGCATCATCACAAAATCTCCGGAACTGTAAAGCCTACAAACTTGAAATTTGGCACATATGTCCATCTTAGCTTCTAAGTGCTCACTAAGAAAGGATTTTTCGAAATGACCATCAGAGCATTAGTATTTTGTATATTATTATTAACATGCTCTGATGCTAAGGAGTTCTACTCCCCCTCCCCACCTGAAAAGAAATCTGTTCCAAATGCAAAACACAAGCAAAGGAGAGGAGTTTTAGTTTCACAGCAGCAACCAGCTTTAGTACGGAACAGTTGAGCTAAGCCAACCTCAAACTCCTTGCTGTCTCCTTCTCGCTCACACAGCAAATACTGTTTCAGTTTCCATGTTTCAGTTTCCAAACAGCCCTCAACTCTCACACACTGACAGGACACTAGCTAGATGAATACTGATGGATGCTGGTAGGCAGAGGCACTATTCTCCCCCACTTATTTTCCTCCCCAAAAACTGAGGGCGATCACATAGTTTCATAGCAAAGCAGTAATATAGAGCTAGTTTTTCTAATATGCAATAAAAATAATAATAATGCAAGAGGGCTTAAGAAATGGGGTTTGGGTAAACTTTGTATGTAAAAAGCTGCTTTGTGAGTGTGAGCATCATGAAATCTCAAATTCTAGCCATTCCCTTCATCAACTGACCATAAAATAACAATTTCCAGAATCTACTCACAAGGAGCAGTTGTCCAGAAGTCACATGGATACTCTTTAGAATCTTTCCTTCTGGAGAGTTTTCATTAGTCTAGAGCCAACATTTAGCCACAATTTCTTAGCAAATGTCATCCTGCTAATAAGCAGTGTGTCAGCCCACCATGCTTGCCATAGGAAGTCTTCACGTACGGACTAATTTTTTGTGGATGCAGTAGCTCAATAACAATCAAAAGGGTACAGTTTACTAATCCTGGGAGTAAGGATTACAAGGTATAAAATTCAGCCTGCTCCATTAGATCTGGAAGAGGCATGTTGGAGTTACCATTCACGATTGGTGAGAACCAGGAAAAGGTCATATACTATAATTCCAATATTCCTTCAAGCAAATCAGGAGAAAATAAACATGGCATTTTCATGGGCAATTAACAAGCAGTAACATGATAGAAATGATTTGGCAGGCTTTGGTAACAGTACAACTAGAAATGCATATCTTAAATTACAAGTTAAATGAAGCAGACACACATTAAAATGTGTAAGCAAATGTACAGAACTGAAGAAAGATACTACATGAATTAATTTATTACTTATTTATAGTCCCATTCCTCCCATTCCCATTCCTCTTTCTTAAAACTATTTTCTGTAAAAGAATAATGTTTCCTTGAGAATTTGAAGGTTTTTCTGACTAAAAATAAATAAGGCATGGGTATTCAAAATAAATAAGGCATGGGTAATCACCAAAATGGGATTAGCTCACTCTACTCATGCCAGCAGAAAAGGTCTACCACAGACCACATCTGCTAAAGAATTTTGGCAATGAGGTCAATAAGTCTTTTTCTCAGTGGTCTCAACTCTGTGGAACATTCCACCACCAGAAGTGAGAACTGTTCTCACTCTTTTGGCCTTTTGGGTGAGCATTAAAACTTCCTTTTGCTGGTTGGCTTGAGGTCACAAGGGGATGCTCACCATTGGAGGTGGTTGATGGGATAAGAAGACCTTATCCCTGTGCTGTTTTCTTGGTTCTGGTTTTTTGCATAATTTCAAAATGTAAATGTTTCTACTTTTAAATTTTTAATTGCTTTTGTATTTATCTTTTTCTGTTCTGCAAGTAGCCCAAAGTTGCCCTCAGAATATGAGCAGCATGTAAATTTAATAAATAAATAATGCAGAATTGGAAGACAATATGCTTTCAAGTTAAACAACAATTAAAGCCCTCTACCTTTTTCTTCAACGTATATTTTTGAAAATGCATTTTCAGCACTCACTGCAACCAAAACTAAATATCAAAACAGGCAGAAGTTGACTATTATGCTGTCTCTGACTAACAAAAGTTACAATCGTTCATGAAATATATCATTATGAGTTAAGCTCAGATATCCCATTAAAATTTATAATTAATGTGTTAACTATTCAGCAAATATTCAACAATTATCATTCGTATTATAAATTATAATCAGTGCATAATTTGTGCAATTTATTATAAACCTCATAATTTATACCATGAGAGATAAAGTTCTATACTGCAAAGTGATATTGTACTGTATGGAATACTCATTCTTATTACCAAACACTAAAATAATCATTTGTTTTCATGATTGCACATATTATATTTTTTTTTATTTTATAGAAATTTATGGTATACATTTTTTATAAAACTACAAAGTAATTGTTACCAAAGCTTTATGAAGTTAGATGTGCTTATTATGTTAGTGGGGAACTTAACCTACAGTCTTAGACTTATTAATCATACTAACCATACAAGGAAAAACACAAAAATAGTACTTTATGTACCTTTTAAAAAAGAGATGATGGGGATAAAAAAGTAGGAGAACTAATAAATCTGTTTTATTTTGATCTTTGCAAAAATTGAAAACGAACATCAGTCCCAGCGAGATCTTGAAATGGTATCAAGATTACAGAGATTTACAAATCATATGAAGAAAGTTAAAGCAATAATTATGTTCAAATAGAATTGGGATCGAAAATTCTGTTATGCTTTTGATGTTCCTGAACTACAACTTTCCACAGCCTTACAAAGCAGGGTCAGTGGTCAGGAATGAAGGAAGATGCATTATTTTTCTGCTTCTATGGACTCCCCAAGCCTGCCATTTATTTTTTTTACAGGAAGCAGGTGTTAATTTTGCACAGCTTTTTTTTTCTTTCCAGCAATTTTCCACAAGTACAGGGTCCACTGGACTAGACCAAACATTTTCACCATGTACTCCAACAAAATCATCATACATCACACTTTTTTGAAAAACATGTTATTCTTTATATATTAAATATTTGGAAATTTTTCATACACTTTGTTTATTTTGAACTCAAGAATCAAGCTTAACTTTTATTGCTAATTATATTGTCTTTCTTATCCTTATTTTAAAAAAATAGTCAACCACTAGGTGGCTTTTGCTTATTACCCATTGTTTCTCCAAAAATACGGTTAATGAATACGGTTAATGAATTCTCATCCAAGAAGCTTTGTCTTGATCCAGTCAGAAGCAGCTTCTTGGATAAGAAGCGAAACATCTTCAAAGAAAAACAAGGAAATCCAGTTGCCTCTTGAAAAAGCATCTTTGGGACAACCATGACCCGGATGATTGAGAATCTCCAAAGACACATATCGGAAGCAACTACATTCCTCTATCTAAAAGTTACTCCTTGCAACTTTCCTCAGTCTGAGATTTTCTTGCTTTGGGTAGAGGGACTATTAACTTGTTCTCGCAAATGGCATAAGTGACATAATTTAAGAACAAAAACAAGTTAATAAATAATAAACAGATAACACCACAGGCTTTTTGAAGTGTGCTGGCATCACCTTATTCACAGAGAGGGGCAGACAACCTCCTACTCCCTTGTTCACTAAAGGAGCCAGGAAGGGCAAAAATACAAAGCACAAGGGAAGTGAGTCAGCCTCTCCTAGACCACCACATCTCACAGAGTTATTGTTGTAGGGAAAATAGAAGGAAAGAACATTGTGTATGTTGCCTTGAATTGTACATAAAATAAAGGCAAGATATAAATCTAATAATTTTTTTAAAATGCTAGAAAATATCCTATCTATCAATATTCACAGCCAAGAAGGGTGTAGCGTAGCATCTTATCAGACCTTGCCCATGAAATCACTTTTTGGGCAAAATATTGCATTGAATGGTTGCAGTGGCCAAACAAAAAACTCACAAAACTTAATTCTTCCAAAAAGAGAGCTGATCATCCTGAACATCCACAGACAAGACAGCCTACCAGTGGAAGAAGGAAAAAGTAAAAGACCACTTTTCCTGCTTTACTGCTCTATCTAGGCGTGAATGCCCTTGTCCTGTCAAGTTTGCTTTTCATCTTGTTCCCTCAACATCCCAGCATATCCATTTACTGCTCTCTCTTTTCGGATCTGCACTGTGGATCTGTACAATAAATCAAGGGGCACACCTACACATACACATCATAATTTTAAAGAGAAATACAATGTTTGAAACTGGGTAGATAGGATTTATTTGAATTATGACAATGATAGAATAAAAAGAAACTGAGACAAAATTTGAATAAAATATTTAAAAGATACATCTTTGCTGCTGTTTAATTTTTACCAATGGTGCTTCCTATACTGTTAAATAGTTTATTTACAATTATATGGTTATACAGCATTATTCTTCAAAAATTATTAATGTTCCTCACCAGGTTGGAGTATGTAAGGAATTCAGCTGCAAAATATATTTAGCAGAAACACCTTACCACAAAAATAGTATTTCTAGTCCCATAAAGTGTTGCCTCTTCCCATTCCTTAAGCTATCCAAGGAAAACATCTATTTAATTATTAATCTCTTTCTGAATAAGATTGGCAAAAATCAGGTCTTCCAAAGGCTGTAAATGTGCCAACAGTTTTAGATTAAAAAATACCCCACTTCTATTCCTTTAAAGTTATATTG